GATGCTTTACAGAGGATTTTCTCATTAGTGTGCTACTGTGAAATTAGTTGTGACGGCAAACGCTGGCAAAAAAAAAAAGGCTCTAGACATTACAGTATCTGCAGTGATTTGCTTTGTGCTTCCAATGGGTCCAATTTGAGTGTTCCTGAGCTCATTTCCCCACATGTAAAAGGCTTCCGGTAGACTGGTTACTTATGCATCAAAAACAGTAGGGAGGCGATATAATAAATATGCCCCCATAGAAGACAGCTTAGAGGAACCATTGAATTTAGCACTGTTAGCATATGCTAAAATTGTAAAAACAATTTATCTGACAGTGTTATTGTTACAGAATATTCTACACTACACTCAAGCTAAAAGTTTCTAAAAAGAAAAACAAGGTGTAAAGCAGAAAATGAAAGCTACACGCATCTAATTAAAACAAACTTACTGGTCAGAATTGGATTCTTTTTCAAAAAACAAATTTTTTTTTTTCTCCTGGAAATTAGATTCACAATGTCCCACATCTTCCCTAAGCTGACTATTTGTATGTCCTGTAACTGTTTTACACTGAACTTTTTGTTCTGGTAGTGGTTTTGTACTGGTGTACACCGTATTACTGTTTTTACACTGTTTTATTGCTTGCTTTTATTGATATTTGGTGGTGCTTTGTGATGTCTGTTAAGCTTCAGACTTTGGACTTGGACTCGGGTTGGACTCGAGGCACAAAAAATGAGGACTTGTTACTTGACTTGAGACTTGAATGTAAAAAGGTGAGGAAACTTGGTGACCCATAAATATTGAAAAATGCTCTACTGAATGTAGTTGTGTCTTAACCAGGATGTGCAATACCTCCATAACGTAACACATACCTTCATCTGCAGCTCTGCTGTCACCAGAGTACAATGAAGAAAATTCAGATGAGAGAAAATAACCTTTCATTCTAAAAATAATTAGTCTCTGCTCAAGAAGCTCAATAGTGTTCTCTCTCTTCGTATCCAATATATCCAATTTTCTCCTTGAAGCTGAAAAAATTATTTTTGTGCTAGTTCCTGCTTTTAGTTAATAAAAGAGCTCCTTCTTATTTTTAAGAATGTTATTAATATGTTTGGATTTATCTATTGTAGCAAGTATTAGATGTAATGGCGTCCTACATGAGGAATTTGTGATAAAAAAATTTGATATATAATATAATTATTTTGTATAAATACTACCTAGAGCTTAATGATAAATGATCTTACCTGCTCTTAACTGTTTTAAAAGACACAGACCTACTGTCAGCCGTATGGTTGCAAACACAACCAGAACACGGCTCTTCATAATCCTCAGAGCGCAATCTAAATATTAATATTAAAACTGAAGTTGAACCTTGTTAGTTAAGCTGAATACAGCATGATATGTCTGTGTGTATACACTACTAATTAGGATTTGCCTTTCAGTGCTTTAGATTAACTTGTCCATCACGACACAGTGTGCCACTTGTATTAAACATGATATCTTTGTCTTTGTCTGTTGCTATTTTATACAGATGACCACAAAAGGACACTGACATAAAAGCACTGCAAAGCTAACTAGCTAACTACAGCTAACAATGATGAAGGAAATGTATGTATCATTGAACAACACATTTTGTTGTAATAGACACCAAAATTCTGCACATCTACTTCATGAGGCATACAAGTATCAAAAAGGTATTCATCTTTTCTATAATACATGGTTGTACAATGAAATATAAGCTTCATGCACACATACAAAATTATAATTAAATGTACAGTAGAATAAAATAAATAAGATAAAATAGAATAAAACAATAGATACAGTTATTTATATACATATATACGTACACATATTCACCAAGGAAATAATTGTCTGTGCCTATCCACTTTGAGCACCAAGCATCAATGATGTAAACACAGAGTCAGCCTCCTTTTGTCCTGAGCCCGTCAAGGGTACAGGTTGTTGATTTACAAAGGTCTCTGTATAAATGTGGGCACAACACTCTATGATTACTTGTTGTTTGGCCAGCCTGAGTCCCATTTCGTCCAGATCGGACATTAGCCAGGAGCAGCCTTAAGCCCAAGCGCACTGTATGTTATATATAGTGGTATCAGTGTAGGACTAAAAGCTGTAAATGCTGTGTGTCGGCTTTGTGGGAAGACACATTAGAGTGTCACTGAGTGCTAAAGCTTGTACTTTTGCATTTTGTTTCAGTGACCTTACACATATGCAAAATGAACAGAATTACTGTTTGGCTGTCACAATTTCACAAGCCTAAATCAAACTATTTTTTATGGGTGTGCAGTTTCATTTATTTATGCAACATTGACACCGTCTTGATGAAAGAGGGAGTTTGAGGTGACAGGAGCTGTGGCTTTTTAATGGGAACACATTGATCAGGTTTTCTGGGGCCGTTTCCAGCTCCTGTTTGGTAAACTGTGCGATCATTGTGCTGCTCACTGATCCGATCACTGACTGAATTATGTATTTACACAGATTTTCTACTAACAAAGAGCCATCAGGTGAAAACACAACAACTATGAATAGTAAAATATCAAAATGTGACAGTCCAAATCTACCTATCCATGTGCTGTGACCAAATATAAAACAGGTAATTTATCAATTCCTTTCAAAACAACCCATATGTGCATTTGCTGATCCAATGCTCCTGCCAGCAAGACAACATTGTTTGTCAAAGCCTTTCAAAGCTGATTCATATGTTTACTACACAGGATGTGAGCAGTGGTCTCCAGTGTCAAAGTTAGATGCTTGGCTGACCTAATGAATAGTCATTATTTAGAAACCAAGAGGATTTGTGTCAAGAAAATGTTAATCTCTATAAATAGATATCATTAATGGATGTAGAATCTCTAGTGCAAGAGTCAAGATTGTGTTATTGGAAGCATTCTGGTTTCTGTTTGTAGTCCAAGTAGTATTGACCAACCACATTTAGCGAGCTTTGATTGCATGCACATAAACAGTCAGTGTGGAGAGCAAAAGATGCAGAAACCATTGGTCGAAATGCAATCTTAGAATGCATCGGCTATCATAAGTATTCAAAGGCAGATATCTGTTTATAGAGATTACTATTATCATGCCTCTAGTTGCTAATTGGACTGTAAACAATGACTGGCACACAAAAGAGGAAATCTTGTCCGGATATCCATTATCCGGATATTTGCTGGCTACGCCAGAAGACGATGGGTTCCAAGATGAGGAACATGTAAACAACATATAAACACCTTAGACGATGTGGTGCTGCTCTTGTTAGAGTTTCCATTTCCATTGTTGGTGAATGATGTCGTTTTAAGTTGGCATTATATTATGGTTGCTCTCTAGTCTGGCATAGGTAGGTCATCATGGGATTTTGTAGTAGAGTTAACTGTAGTCTCGTGCAGGGTTTATGTAAGGGGGGTTAATGTGAGGGGGGCTCTCATTTTTTATCAAACTATGACTTAAACTTCATCCATCAGATAACGTTCTGGTCCATCAAAATCAGAAATGCGTGCTGGTGAATAGAGACAACTTGCTGGTAAATGGCTAGTTTCTCCTGCGTAGTCGAGAGATTGAAGATGTCCAAAACCTGACTTAAAATCAATCTAATTTAATAGAGAAAACACATACATAGGAAAGGTCACTGAAACATATGTATGTACCTAGAGTGACTATTTATTTTTGCTATGAGCATCTTGGACTACATTTCATATTCTAAAATGACATATGGGTGGATTTTGGTGGTGGCACTATTTGAATCTCTTCAACACAACTTTATACTGTATTACATTTGAAAATTGTACACTTAAAAGTACATTTACAGTGTGAAAAATAGGATTAAATTGGATATTGCATATTGGTACTGTATATGTTTGATGACTATGTTTGGTGCAATTGTGTGATCTGTATTGTGATATTTTGAGAGACTGCCAGATGGACAACATGGCAGCGTTGCTTTATTTATGCTGACTAATTAGAGGTTTGTTGTTGTTTGCTTAATCAGGAAGTTGAAACTGTAAAATAATGTGTTATGGATATTAAACAGCCAATTATTATCAATGTGTGCACTGCTACCTTTACCATTTCCGTTCATTTGGGGCCCCTCCTCTTCCCCTTAGTGCCTTATTACAAACACACGTCCTGTCTGTCTGTTCTTGGCACTAATGAATCTCTGAAGTGTGCGGACTCCGCAGCAGTGATTGACTTACCACCCCGCTCTCTGCTCTCTATAACCAGCTCAAGGACACTTCCAATTAGCATCTGGACTCTGGTACACTAGTTTCAGTCCCTAGGCCTCTCAGCCTGGAGAGAAGCCATTTGATTGGGTATCTCAGGTTGTCAGTACATCATGAACAGACTGACTGGGTGGAGAAAAGGTTCAGTGCATTTTAATTTTCTCCCTCCATTCTCTTTTCTCTCTCTGTTTTTTTTTGTTTTTGTAACCCTCAACTCTCCACTCTTTCTGTGAGCTGGCAAAGCCTTTAAACAAAGTTAGATCAGTTCCCCCAATTCAAACATAATTCATGAATATTAAAACAAGAGAGAGCGGAGATATGTATACAGTGCATTTTGGAAAACAATCACGCGCTGATAGTTGTCAACGTGACTATCATTTATATTCAGATTTATTATTCACAGTGCACACCTTGTGTCCTCTAACTCAACTGATAAGGAGCTGCTCAGTATCCACCAGTATAACCTCACCATGCTCTTATCCCAAACAACCTTGATGATTCAATAGCACTTTTTGAACCTGTCTTTCCATTCTTGTATTATTGTCTTTTAGTGAAGGATAAGACAAAGCAGTCAGGTCTTAAAGGAAAACGTCTATGGAGACACCCTTGGAGTGACATTGGTGATGTTTTTGAGAGAGGACGAGTGGCAGCTCTTGCTGAACATCTTTTCTTTGACTTACAGGAGTATAATCAAGTCTGACGTTTTTCAGAGAGACATACTGTACCGTATATATATAAGCAAGTTCAGAAAAGTCAAATGAATAACTTGATATGGCTTCTTTCCCCCTATACCAGGTCGGGGTCGTGCTGCACTACTCGTCTCTGTCGACCATGCTGTGGCTCGGTGTGACGGCTAGGAACATTTATAAACAGGTGACCAAGAAGCCTCCACAGAGCCAAGATGGTGACCCGCCTCCGCCCCCTAAACAGCCCCTGTTGAGGTAAGTACAAATGTTCTCGCAACCCTTCTCAACCCTGACTGCTTTGAGATGGGAAAGCATATAAACACGTGTGCATGTGTGCATATGTGGGTTTGTGCCTGCGTGTGCGTGTGACCAGTATTTCTGGTGTTTCTTGCAGTTATTGCTGCTTGCTGTGTCTGTGTTTATCTTTAGAAGCCGAGGAC